CCTTCTCCTGTCCCCTCCTGGAGCAAAACTCCAGGAAAAGTTGATGTCCCCACCTTCCCCTGCAGGGTTGCTGTCCTGGTCACCATGACCCCAGGGTGACAAGTCCAGGGGTCTGAGCTCAGTCCCAAGACACACCCAGACCTGGAGCCAGCTCTGAGAGTCTTTGTTTACCCCACATCTCTGTGCTGGAACTTCTCTGGGAATGACCGTCACATGCTGCCAGATGCCTGAAGGGTGCACCCAGGGACAGGCCCTGCATTAGTACTCAAAGGTCCAACAGGAATGCCAGAGCACATCAGGGCTTCTGATAAGGGGTGGAAGATCTGCAGATGTGGATGAGTCACAGGCTGTTGGCGAAGGAGGGTGCTGGTTCCCACCACTGCAGAGATGACCCACAGGCCAGGCTCTGCACGGACCTGGGAAGACGCAACAGGAGGGCCGTTCTTATACAGCATCTCAGACAGTGTCGGCCTTGGGAAGATCAGGAGAGCCGGCCGGTGGCCCCCACCTGTGATCCCAGATGCTCAGGAAGCTGAGGCAGGAGGATCACAAGCTCCAGGCCAGCCTGACAATAAAAACTAGAAGGACTGGGGATGAAGCTCAGTGGTAGAGCAACCCTGGGTTCAATCCCCAGTCCTGGGGGCGAAAATCAAGAGAATCGGCTAGCCTGAAAGGTCCTACCTCCTGGGAGTGCCAAATAGGAAATGACCACCAGCTCGTAAGAAAGTGGGTCATAGCAATATCCCTGTTAAGACTAAACCAATGTCGCTGGGCACAATGGCGCACACCTGTAATCCTAGTGGCTCAGGAGGCTGAGACTGGAGGATCTTTGAGTTCAAAGCCAGCCTCAGCAACAGTGAGGCACTAAGCAACTCAGTAAGACCCTGTCTCTAAATAAGATACAAAATAGGGCTGGGGACGTGGCTCAGTGGTTGAGTGCCCCTGAGTTCAATCCCTGCTATCCACCCCGCACATACACGAAAAAAGGCTATACCAACGTCATGACGCAGGCTAATACTATCGCCGAGGCTAATACATCCCGGGATGCCTACAGCGGACGTGATCTAACACCACAATACCAAGTGTGCCGTGAGCCTGCGTTGGGCGGGACCGTGCAGACACAGGGGTGGAGGCTCCATCTCGGTGCCTGGGTAAATGAGCCTTTCCTGCGCCCCTGCAGCAGCCCCGCCGGGTAGACCCTGCTGCCTCTGCCCATTTCAGATGAGCAGAGCAGGGCTCCCCTCGGAGGAGCTGGTTCCAGCCCGCAGTCCACCTAGAGCCTGCCCTTCCTCTCCCGTGCTGGGGCAGGGTGCATGTTGTCAACTCGGTGCCCGCTGGCTGCACTCTGTAATAGCTTAGCTGCAGGAAATCCTTGCCAACTAAGAACCTGCTGCGTGTAGTGAAACAGCGGGCCTCGCGGGACAGCGCGGGGTGGGGGCACTGGCTGCCCAGCTCTGCGCAGATCACGGGCCTCCGTCAGTGCAGCCTGAGAGGAACCCACTGCCAACCCAGAAAGCAGTGGGGACTGTGCCCGGAAGCTGTGGCCACAGGTCACAATGATCCAGGGTCTGCAGAGCCTAAACCAACTGACACAGGGTGGCCCCTGGCACTTACCCTAGGCTGCCACGCAGAGCGATGACCAAAAGCCCCTGGGCTGGGCGGAGCGCACCCGAGGCAGGGTTTGACCCCCAGCACCAACACACACATAAAAATGGAATCCTGGAAGGGGCGCCTGCCAGGGACCAGGATTCCCCCAGACAGCACTGCCGGAAACAGTCCCCACGAGCCATGGAGACCGCGGTGGCCAAGTCCCCAAAAACTGCAGCTGGGAATCCAAACACAACCAGACAGGATGGAAGTCGGCGCCTGTGCAGGGGCTTCGGGGCGTGGCCTTATCACGGTGCCCCTCCAGGAGAAAGGCTGGTTCTCGGGGACGGGGCCCTGGCATGGGGCCTGCCAGCCCCAGGAAGCTACCACCTGTGCCAAGCCAAGGAGGAGCCGGGTGGAGGGCACCTCCCACGGCCTCGGCCTGAGTCCCTGGCCCACGTCCCTGTCTCTCCCTGGGTGTCCTGCAGTTTGCGTAAACGGCCCAGCAACACAGGTAGTGTCCCCGCGTCAGGACACACTTGTCCCTGCTACACCTCTGATGCCTTCTACCTCCCCTTCAGAAAGCCAGGCCCAGAGGTTGCTGGGGATTGTCTGGTCACGATGACCACTTGCTGTCCATTTCAAGACGTGGAGACCTGTGCGCAGGGGTGACATGTGAGGCCACCCAGGGCCGGCCTGTCCAGGCACAGGAGATGAGATGCTCCCGAGGCCCAGCAGGGGTGGCGCGGGCACAACCTCTCTCCTGCCCTTGCTCTGGGGGCACCCTGTGAGGCCCCAGATTCCACCAGCGTTTTTCTGACAAGGAAACCAAGACTCAGAGGAGAAGGTGACCTGGTCCTGATGCAGGGGGGTAAGTGACAGGTGCCAGGACCCAAGCCTGGCTGTGACCAAGCGAACCCCCGACCTGCCCAGCTCAGGGGAGGCCCATGGCTGGAGTGGACCCCTGCACCTGAGAGCTGGCCTGGGTTGGAGCCGGGGGCTTTGGGCACTCAGGTGATGGAAGGCTGCCAGCCAGGCCCGTGGAAGGACTGATCCTGGAGGAACGCCCACCCCGCTGTCTCCCACCTGGCGCTGCTGTTGCCAGAGAGCACCGCCCCCCCCCCATGATGACACGCCTCCGCGGGCTGCGTAGAGGGCAGAAGTGAGAGGCAGGGCCATCGGGACCCTCTCCTGAGGACGTGCCCTGAGGTTCTGGGGTCCCAGATGAGAAGCCAGCCCTGCCCAGCCTGCCTCCAACCCGGGCTCCTGCACCCCCATCAGCTTGACCCTTCGCCCCACTGCTGAGCGTGGCTGTGAGGATCCCGCCAGCCACTGTGGTCGGAGCAGATGACAGGGGGCTGCAGAGGACCCAGCATGGTCCTGAGCTACGGCTGTGACCAAGGTCAGACAAGCCCTCTTCACTTGGAGATGAGCTCAACGGCAGGTGGCCAGTGCCCGCATCCAGACCCGAGGCCCACTCCCCTCCCCGTGGTCCTTGAGCAAGGTGCCCATCTCCCAGATGGAGGACTGAGGCTGGGAGAACACGGCCCTGGAAGGCAGGGGTGGGGCGACTGCCTGCAGGGGCAGGACCTGAGGCTGGCTGGGCCCACCCACCGGCAGGAGCCCCTGAGGCCACAGGTGCCTGAGGTGACCCACAGGTCACCTGCAGCAGGAGCTGGCGAGTGGACACAGCACCTGCCCTCCCCTGGGGTGCTGGGCATGGGGTTGGCTTTGCTCAGCTACCTGGCCTGGGCTGCCGAGGGGCTTCTCAGTGCCAGTTCTGGCAATGACTGTTTTGTGTCCCCAAGGCCTGGCTCAGGCGCAGGTGCAGGTGGGGTGGGGCCCGAGCAGTCACTTCTGCTCCCGGCCTCTGTTCCAGCCCTCAGAGGTCTCCCCAGACTCAGGGGGCAGGTGACAGGAAGAGGCTCTCCCGGGCTTCGCTGCAGAGATGGGGCCAGCGGTGGCCATGGGAGTGGGAGCACCCAGCCCCTGGCAGGAAGCCCAAGCCGTCAGCTCCCAGGGTGTCTAAGGGGAGAGGAAGGGGAACCAGGAGCCCCTGAGGCCACCAGAATGAATGGAAGCAGAGGAAGACTTCCCGGTGAAAGGCACTGTCCCTGGAGGCCGGGCCCAGTCCACGTCCACACGCTTGCCCTTCCCCTGCCTGGAATGACCCTTCCCTAAGCCTAACTGACTGGTCAACTCCTGTTCATCCTGCGACACCCTGCTTGGGGGATCTGATCCACTGAAGCCTTCTGTATACGTGCACACAGCAGAATTTGGAAGCAACACTCCCCGGCCACCCACGGTGGGCACACGCTGGGGAGGCTCAGAGAGGCCCTGGGGACTCTGCAGAGAGGAGCTGTCCCTCCCTAGCTGGCTCGGCTGTCAGTCGGGCTCAAGGCTGCTTGCTCCCAGCCACACCGAGCTCGTGCTCGCGGGATTCCTGGTGGGGCCGTCGGCAGCCCCTCACCGAGGGGTGGGCAGCGGGCAGCACAACGTGCAGCGGGCACCGGCACTCTGCCTGTCCTCCTGTGCCCGACACCTGCCCGCCCTGGGCTAGGCGCTGGATTCAGATCCCACCTCACATGACAGTGGCCCTTCCTGGGCCTTCACAACAGCTCAGTGAGGAGGGCAGAGGGGTCCGCACCTCGTCCATGGGCACATGGAGGACGGCGGGGCCCTTGGGGAAGGACGAGGGCCCTCGTGGGCCTGGCGGCCCGGTCCTCCTTCTTCCCCTCACTTTCACCTGCCCTCTGCCGACAGGGCGCCCTCAGCACCTCCCATGCCAGGAGGGGACGTCTGAGCTGGGGACAGAGCCCTTCTCCTCCCCACAACCTCCAGGGAGGGACCTCTTGGCCTCAGGGCCAGCAGACCAGGGAAATGCCACTGACCTTGACCTCGCCTTCACAGAGGGCTTGTCCCTTGGTTGGGCTGGCTCCTGTCCTACCTCCAAGGACAGCAGAGGATGCCTCACTGTCCTGGCCACGCCACTCTGTGACCCCAGGGGGCAGAGGACACCTCAGCCACGGGGAGCAGGTCAAATCCAAGGGCCAGGCTGTGCTGTCCCTCTGTACCGTCTCCTAGCTCCGTCCCCTTGCTAGTCCTCACCCTGGCCTTGGCAGCCCCTGCACAGGGGGCTCCCCCAGGCTCCCACCTCCATGCTCTGGAGCCGAGGGCCTCTGAGGAGGGCAGCTGACCTGGTCTGCTCCCACTTGGTCCCTCGGGGGCCTCGCAGTCCCGGCCACTCAGTCCAAAAGGGCTCCACATAGCAGTGTCCTCTGGGACTCAGTGGCTGGTCTTCTCCAGCTGGCCTGGGTCCCGTGTGGGGAAAGCAGCCGACTGAGTGTCCTCGCCCTCCCAGAGCTGGGCTGCACTGACATCTGCTGGACTCTCTGGAAGGCCACTCCGCTCACCTGGCTTACCAAGCCTCCCAGGGTTCCTAGAACTGGTTCGCAGAGGCCTGTGCAGCTCCAGGTGCGTGGAGCCTCTCAGGTCAGGCTCCTGTCACACCAGCCTCAGGCGCAGGTGCAGGTGGGGTGGGGCCCGAGCAGTCACTTCTGCTCCCGGCCTCTGTTCCAGCCCTCAGGGGTCTCCCCAGACTCAGGGGGCAGGTGACAGGAAGAGGCTCTCCCGGGTTTCGCTGGGAGGGGACCGTCACCGCCATCTGCAGATGGGACAGGAGGAAGAGGAGAGGCGTCTCCTTGGTCCAGGAGCAGCTGGGGCACCGACATGTGTGTCCCTGGCCACTTCCCCTCTCTCTTTGCTGCTTGGTCACCACTAGGTGAGCGGCCTCCTGCCGTCAAGATGCCTTGCCTCACCTTGGTGCCACAGCCGCGGGGCCAGCCAGGGACTGCCCCCTCTGAAGCCTGAGCCAGGCAAGTCTCTCCTCCTTTAGGACGATTTGCCCTGGCATTTTGTCGCAGCGATGGAGCTGACCAGCACCAGGAGAGAGGCCGGCTGGGCCGGCTGGGGTGGCCGGGGCTGGAAGGCCTGTGTGCTCAGGGGCACCAGGGCCTAGATGTGGGCCCGGCCCCAGTGGGGACTTGGAAATGATGGGCCACCCACAGGGTTCCACTGGTGCTGGTGTGTGGCCAGCTCTTTCTCCTGCCCATGGCCACTGTGCCGGTGGCTCCAGGGACCTGAGCTTCCCCTCAGAACCCCGAGCACCTTAGGAAAGACTTCCACTGGAGCCAAGATGGTCGGTCTCCAGGCCCTCAGGCACTGGCTCCTGGTTATTTCCGGGGGGAACCAACAAGAAGGGCTGCTGCCTCTCTGGAAACCAGAGCCAGTTCCAAGGCCAATGTGCGCCTGCCAAGCATCAGCGGATGTGAGGACAGGACGGAGCTCAAGAAGCAGAGTTCATTCCCCAGCCATGAATCTGGGAGTAAGCTCAGAGAGGCACAGCAACCTGCCTGAGGTCACACAGAGAGTATGCAGGCCCAGTGGCTGAACGTACCCCTCTCGTGTTCTGGGGGCTCCCCCGTACTCTGCATGGCATAAGCTCCCTCACCAGTCCCCAGGCCCTGGAGTGCTGGCCCGTGGCCAGGGCACCCAGAATGTGTGTTATGAATGACGAAGGCCCGGCGCCCTGCTGCTCTCCCCAGCGCGGCGTGGGAAGGAGCCATCTGCTGGTGTTGGTGCTACTCTAAAAATCAAAAGCACAAACCTCGAGCCACAGCAATGTCACACCAGGGCGGTGGACAGCTGGTCCTGACTCTAAGCTAGAACCGGGTGGGCTCCCAAGGGACAGGCCTTGGTCAGAGGACACCCCTCACATCTCCACATGGCCACTAACAGCCCCGAGACCTGGACACCTGGCACCCCACAGGAGCCTCAGTGTCCCCACCACTGGACAGAGACGTACACGGACTTACCTCGTGGGGTGTCCAGAGGACTCAGGGGGTGGGATGCTGTAGGGGTGCAGCCAGGCCCCCGCGTCTCCTCCCTGCACCCTGGCCAAGGCTGCACTGTCCCCTGGTGAGGTCCGAGGCCACCTGGCCTTGTGGAAGCCAATGGCTTACACATTATGTGGCTTCCACGTGGCCAAGGGGCAGAGGGGCCAGGAGTGGGGCGGGTGGCTCCCGGGGCACCCCGTGACTCAGCAGAACTCAGCGAGGCCACAGGCCCAGGGTGGCAGCCGCCCCCAGCTGTGTCCTGGGCAGGGAAGCCCAGCCGCCCGAGCTCCTGGTAAATATTTTATTGCTGCTCACGGAGCAGTCCCCAGAGAGGAGCCTGCAGTCCAGCCCACGGAGCACCCCTTCCTGTCTGCATGGAAGGACACACGGGGAGGCCCGGGGACCAGGACCAGGCCACCCAGTCCTGCCCAGTGACTTCAGGTCAGCTCGGCACCCCCTGGAGCTCCCGTACCTGTGCCCGTGGATGGGGAGCCCCACTCCTCTGCATCCCCAAGACTCCGGCCTCTGCCCCTGGCCTGCTGTCTCCGTCCTCCCTTCCCAGGAAGCTGGAGGCCCAGGCTCAAGCCCAGCCCTTGCCTATCTCCTCTGTGTGACCCTGGGCAGGCCCCTGCCCCCTTGGAGCCTGGCTCTATGATGGAGCTAAGGCCCCATTCCTGGGCCAAGTGAGGCTGATAATGAGAGTGTCCCCAGCACCCTCACCAGGGCTGTTCAGGGTAGGGGACACGGAGCGTAGAAGTCAGGTCCAGGGGCGGGACTTGGGGGCACACAGTCTGCTGGCTGCTTGCAGAACCCCACACTTCAGCTGGGGGGACGGGGCTCAAGCAATGGTGACCACACAACAGCAGCCACAGCCCCACCAGAACAAGGGCCGGAAGCCGCCTGCCACATGCCCGGTGCCCACGTCCCAGGCCCTTGATGAGCCTCCCAGGGCCTGGGATGCCACGTTCGTGCTCCCGCCTGACAGCAGAGCAGAAGGTGAGAGGCAGTGGCGGGCCCTGCCGAGGTCACACAGCTTTCCACTGTCCACCTAGGGGCCCTCCAGAGGGGCACATCCGGGGGCATGGCGACAGGACAGGGTACTGCACAGCTGTGATTTAGGATCACCATGATTTAGGAGCCCGCGGGCTGCCAGGGAGATGCTCGCGCCACAGTGAAAGCAGCAGCCACCTTGTCACAGCCGTGGTGTCACAGGGAGGTGGTGACCCCAGGCAGAGACGCCCCCCTCAGCACGTGCTCACTGAGAGGCTGCAAAGGGATAACAGAAATGCCACTGTCCAGGGAGCGAGGCCACCAGCGGCCCCCGAGCCTGGGGTCCTCCCCAGGCGTCACACAACACAGCCACAGCGGCTTTACAGTTCGTTTCTCCTAGAGACAGGATGGGTCCCCCAGGATTCACTGAGCACCTACTGTGTGCCCTGCTTGCCCAGAGTGGTCTCCCCCTCACCCTCGGGTCTGGTCTGAGGAGGACAAGATGGGCAGCTGCTGGGACGGATGTGAGGGCCACTCTGCTGCCCACGGGGCCTCCGACCCAGCGGGGCACAGCGGAGCTCTGGTCCCCCTTCTTCCATGTGATTTCTGCGGCACAGGGACCATCGCCACCACCTGCCCACGCCCTAGAGCGCCGCGTGGCGGTGAGCTCCCCGGTGGGGACTGGAACTCTGGTCTCACAGTACTGAACGGGGCCTTGCTCCAGGGCTGGGCCCACTCTTGCCCCGCATCTCGGGCCTGGGTTCTCCTATGGGTACCAGGGCGGATGGACGGATTATTCTGGAGAAACTGCTTTTGCAACCTGATAGTGGCCTTAGCCAGCCAGCTGATGGCACGCAGGCACAGCCTGAAGAACCTTCCAGAAAATGAGCAGGCTTACACTGGCCTCTGAGGAGCCCATGAGGTACCCTGAATGATGGCTTCTTAGCATCTGTCCTCACCCTCAAGCTTGCCTCTAGCGGGGGAACAGTGGCTACTTGCACACCTGGTGCCAGAGACACCCAAGTGCAAGCCCAGCCCTTGCTCTTGCTTATCTCCATATAGCCACTTGGTCTCTCTGGGCCTCAGTCTTCCCCTCTGTTAATGGGGCATGTCCATAAGCACCCCCTGGGCTGGCCAGCAGGAGCCAGGCGGAATCCCGGGAAGCCTCCAGGCCTGGCGCACGGCAGGTGTTCAGCAGATAGCCATCCCCACCTCCAGGGGGAGCCCACGCTGTGGGGTCAGAAGTGAGCGGATGTCCTCTGTGCTGCGTGACTGTCTTTTACAAAGGGACACGTCCTGTGCCCTCCTGCATGCCCCAGCATGTAGAGAGCCTCAGGACACAAGAGCACACTCCTCCTCTGTCCCCACCGCTCTGGGGTGAGGTGCAGAGCCGGGCATCCATGGAGGCTACCCTGTGCCCTGAGGTGTGCTGCGCAGAGGCGGGTACTGACACTGATGCTGACCCCAGCCCAGCAACATGCTCTTTCTATTTTATTTTGAGATGGGGTCTCACCATGTTGCTCAGCTGGCCTTGAATCTGCCATCCCGCTGCCTCACTACCTCCCCCCAGTAGCTGGGGTTACAGGTGTGTGCCACCGTGCTGGCCACAAGACTCAACGCTGCTGCAACTCCGTGCCACTCCAGACGGTGCTGCCAGAGCCTGTCCCCATAGCACCGCCTCACTGCTTCATGAACGGGACGCTCCTGCCAGGGCTGTCCCAGCACCTGACAAGGCACCACCTGATTCTCGTGACAACGCTATGAGACAGCTGCTGCCACCATCATCATTTTGTAGACAGGAAAGGAGGCAGAGGATGGGGATCTTGTCAAGGCCACACAGCAGAAGAGGCGGGGTGCACTCAAACTTGGGTGGCCTCAGGACTTGCACCCTCAATCGCCAGGGCTGTCTGTCCTAACCCAAATTCTGCAGGAGAGGACAGTGGCCTCCCAGGGCAGGTGGGCTGGACTCTGTATGGCACACTTGTCCCTCCCCAGCTCCCAAAGCTCCCTGCTCTGGGCCAACTGGCTGAGAGTCTGAGGCCAGAAGTTCTCCAAGGTTTGGGATTTCCAAAGTCACCAAGAAATACGCTCTCCACAGAGTTCAGAGACCCGGGCCAGCAGGCACAGTGCACACCGGCCCCCTCCCCACTCCCGGGAGGCTGAGGCAGGAGAATGGCTTCAGCCCACGAGCCTGAGCCCAGCCTGGGCAACCCAGCAAGACCCTTTTCGAAAGAAAAATGCCCCCTCACTATCCCACCAGGTGCTCCTCCACCAAGAGGGGCATGGCCACAAGAAAAGGGGGATGTTGCATTGTCACCAGGAAGCCACCTCCTTGCTCCACCAAACCCTGTCTTCACAGTGGCCCAAGCTTCCCATTCACATCCCATCTCCAACCTGGGAGATGGCCAGTCACGCTGGGCAGAGGACCCCTGGGGCTGGCCTGGGCTTCAGGGGTGGGACACTTGACCCTGCTGTCTGACCCTGGGGCTGCTGTTGCCACCCTCTGACCTGTCCTGCTCTGAAGCCACATGGCATCTGTGGCAGGCCCCCTCCTGCGAGGTGACTGGGGGCCACCTTGCCATCTGCCAGGCCCAGAGGTCTTGGTAAGGAAGGGAGCAGGCAACTGTTCCTGTCCCCAGGCCTGCCGTGAGCCAGGAAGCTGGCAGCACACCACGCCACCAGCCACAGCTCGGTGTCCCCAGGCAGCTCCGCTCCACCAGCCCCAGGCCTTTTAAGCATCCATTAGAAACAAAAGGGCCGCAGCCCGGAGCCTCCCCTCGGCAGAGAAGGCCAGCCACACACCGTCCCCATCACTAGACCATCACAACAGCTGCCTCCCGTGGAAGTGCCAACCGTCTTGGGACTGTCACACCCACATCACAGTGCTCCTGAGGGGCCTGGCATCACGCTCTGTTGGACCTGCCCTATTACCCCAATGTGGAGGAGGGTGACTGTTTTCAGATGAGGACACTGAGGGCCAGAGAAGCAAAGTGACTTGCCTAGGGCCACACAGTCGGTCGGCAATGGACCTAGCACACTGACCCAGGTGGCCTGGCTCCACAGCAACCCCACCGCCATGATTTAAACGAAGGGCTTGGAACACCAGGCCACCAGCGGGAACCACCCCCGGGGAGGTCAAAACGGAGGTTCCTCACCTCTGCCTGGTGAGGAAAGGTGAGCTCAGAGAGGGGCCAGAGCTCACCCAGGGACACAGCATAGCCCTGGCCCCTAGGGTGGGTCCTTCTGGGTGTGCCCCAATGCCTGCCAGCCACAGGCAGGTAGATGACCTTGTCCCTCATATCCAACTCACCACCCAGTGGCACCCACCCTGATGCACTTCAGAAGGGATGGAGGGACTTGTGAATGCAGATTTCTGGTGCCCTCGTCAGCTGTTCAGGACAGGGGCCCAGGAATCTCCATTTTATCAAGCAGTGTCATCAAGGAGGACGATCAGGTGGTCCTCTCCTGGAGAGCCCAGAGCTCACTCCCAAGAAGCATTTTCTGGGCTGGGCCCTGTGCAGGGCCATAGGGAAGATCCAGTCCTGGGAATGGGCCTCGGCTTTTAGAATCCTGGGCACTTACTAGAGCTGTGCTGTCAGCAAGAGCACAGCTAGCCACTCCACAGCGATGTCATGCCATGCTGTCCCCAGGGCCACTCACAGACATCACTCCACAGATGGGGAAGTGGACCAGTGGTCAGGGCTGGGACCAAATGCTATGACTCATAAGCCAGGGACCCACCCCTAGCCCAGAGCCTCTTCCTCACCTTGACTCTGGTGGAAAAAAAATCTTAGAAAGCATCAGGCCTGCTCATGTCAAGAGGATCTAATGATAGATCTGAGTCGGCCAAAGGCTCAGACCCCTGGCCAGGCACATCTGTCCCCACCTGTCCCAGGGTAAGGAGGGGTCTCCTGGTCCTGACCACACAGACCCTTAGGTGCTTAAGCCCTAGGCCTCTGCCCGGGGACCTGCCTGGCGACTCAGACCTGCGTCCATCCTCTCTGCAGGGCCAGCTCCCTGCCAGGAAGGTGGCTGGAGGCCCAGGCCAGAGGCCAGAGGGCGGCTGCAGCCTGAGCCGGTCCAAGGCTCTGAAGGGGCGGGTCCCCTCCCTCGACCATCTTTGTTCGCTCTATTAGGGGGCAATGGCGAGGGAGGGGAAGCCGCGGAGCCGAGGGGCGGAGTGGCAGGGCGATCGGATGACAAGGCGGCCGGACAGGGGTCTGGACGCGGCCCCGGAGACCCACCAGCAGAGACCACGAGAAGC